AAATGAAAGGTAGCAGAAGAAGAAAAATCTTGTGATTTCTGCCTCTTTTTCTCAAATAAATAAATTCAATCAAAAATAATCTTCATTTTACAAAAACGTACACAAAATAAAAGAAAAACAATGAAGGTTTAATTCCTTCTTGAGCAACAATACGTACATTATAACTCTATCTTTTAAATGCATACCTACACTTCTACAAATTCTCTTCTCTCTGTTCCTGCCTGACCTCACCTCGGTCTGTCCATCACCAAAACACAAGAATGATCAAAGCAAAGGGTGTAGCAGCTCATCGAAAATCAAAATAAAATTCAGTTTCTGTTATCAGTTGCTCACCAACAGTCTGGATGCCTCAGAATTTGTCACAAAAAAAATAATAATAAAAAGTTACTACCTTTGTAGCTTCCTTTGGACAGAACACCACAGGAACTCCAGTGATTGCTAACTTCGGGTCATCATCAGCGTGTTCCTTCAACACAACCTGAACAGCAGCAGGAGACAACAGAATGTAAAAGAAACACGAACAAACGCACAAAATAAAAGAGTTTTCATAGCTTTTCTTTTTCTTTCTACCTTCATGTCCTCCAGGAGAGCTTGAGGGTTCTCTATTCCCTCTGGAGCACATTTCTTGTTTTCAGGCAGCGACTCCAGCTTCTCGATCAGCGTCCTGAGTCCGATCAGCTCGAACTGGGTCAAATGAGTCCACCTGCTCTGAGGCTCTGAGGCTGGAGAGTCCGAGGGGGTTTTAGGGGAATCCAACAAGGCAGAGCCGGGGTTACAGCTGTCCTCGGAGACAACGGATAAAACAGATTTGAGGAGCTTCACGTCGTCAGGCGAGCAGGGGCCATCTTCAGCTGCTCGCTCCCATTTCTCTTCCTGGTCCTCCCTGACCTGGGGTCCACACGAATCCTCGTTTGTGTCCTGACTTATGGAGTCGGAGGAAAGGCTCTCTGTCTTTGTCTTTGCTTCATCGTCTGAAATGATAAAATGGGACAAAAGTTTCACACTGTTTGAGAACGACCTATGCTCTCTGGAGGATGGTTCGGCGGTGAAGAAGAAGGCAAAGCTCTTGATTTACTCGTCCGTTTGTGTTCCGGCCCTCACCTGGTGTCATGAAACATAAATTCTGACCGAAAGAACAAGATTTTGAACACAAACATTTGAAGTGGGTTGATTCCGTCGGGTTCAGCCTTCGAGTTAAGGGTCAGCTAAGGCGGTTCAGGCGTCTATTTATGATGCCGTGTGAGGGTTTCCCTCCGGAGCTGTAGTGTTTTAGATGTTTTCCTGCTTCAGCACACCAGATCTGAATGAAGGGATTATAAATGGGCTTCAGCAGAACTTGAAAACAGGCCGACGGGGGTTGAGTCAAACACCGAATCAGGTGTGTTGGAGCAGAGAAACAACAAAAACATTAAGAGCAGCGGCCATCAGGGACCAGGACTGGACACCACTGATCCTTTCAAACCTGGAGGAGAGCCCGAGGAAGACCCAGAACTCCCTGGAGGGATTATGTATCACCCTGGGACCCCCACCTCAGGAGGAGCTGGAGAGTGTTGAAGAAGAGGGATTTCTGGGTTGCCTCTGTGGCCAGACAATGGATAAGCATAAGAAAAATGATGGATGGATGAAAACAGATCTCAACTCATAGCATCAAGAATTATTATTATTATTATTATTATTGGTAGGATAACAGTTTGTTGCTGTATTCACAAGCACACTTGAAAACTTTACCATCCGCAGGGGAAAAATAAACAAGATTGAGAAGTATTGTGTCCTTCTCGAAATCTCAGATTTTAAATCCAAATACATACATGTATCTCGATCAAACCTTTCAATACAGTGCTCAATACATTTGTAATCAACAGTACAGATTTTTTACATTTATTTTATCAACTTGTCCTCTGAAGATGCTCTGTGTTAAAGGATCAGTGGATCTGTGTTCAACTGCTCCACCTAGGCTGCATTGATGAGCACAGATCCGCTGAGAAAATTGCTGTTTCAGCAACATTTAATTTAAAAACTGGACTTTTGAGGTTAAACAAATGTTCGTAATTAATTTCAATAAATTACAAGTTAAGTGGGGCATGAAAAATTATCTCTTTTTGTATCAAAAAAATATCGACCCATGTGACTGAAGTATGGAACCGAACTGAATCGCTAATTTTTGTAACACTGCACCCCTGATCCTGAGATATATTTTTGTATATGTATAGCAATTTTGGGGGTTTCAACCACGTACCGTCTCCTATAGAAAAAACTAGAGTCTAAACAATTTACAGATTTTAATCTCATGTTTGGTTTGTTTTGGAAATGGGTTTTTTACTCACCGACTGGCTCTTTACGGATCTCCTGAATAAGGTAGGACCTCTTGGTCAAACAGTACAGGTAGCGCTCCAGGACGTACCAGCACATCTCGTAGTAAAAAGGAAAACGGAATTTGGAATGAACCTGAAGACAAGAACAAAACATTTGTAGCTTCGTGGAGAAAGATTTGCTAAAGAAACATAAAAATATATTATTGAACCACGAAAACACTACAAGAAGAAAATTTTTCGGTAAAAAGAGCAATTAAAACATACATTTTTAATTTAGTGAACAAATCTATAGAAACGAATTACAGAATATATTAGAAATATACAGTCCTGTATATTGAATGTATTTTGTTCTTAATTTCTCCTTTAGTCCAAACAAACTGATTTTTTTGTCTCCTCAGGTAAAAACTTTATTTTCTTAAGCTTCTTATAAAATATTCTAAATAATGTGAAGTTTACAGAGCAAGGCAGATTTCAGCCACACATTAGCAAAAAGGTAAAATCTTACCTTAGTCCGGTTTTCTATCTCGTGGATAGTAAACTGCATAGGAATGTTAAAGCTGTGCAGAATGTTGCCTCCAAACACCAGCGTGTCCGCTGGAGTGTAGACGGCATGAATCCAACCTTAAACATGCAAAAAGAAGATTAGAATGATTTAAAAAAAAGCTTTTAGTTTCTTTTTATTTAAGGGGTCTGGTTTGCTTTCAAATAACTGTGCCGACGTACCAGACGGTATAAAGAAGGTGCATCCTTGTTTAAGCTCAACTCGCTGGCATCCATCGGCTCGGTCTCCCAGGAAGACGTCGCTCTGCTTGCCTGAAAGGACCCAGTCCTCATAAAGAGCCAGGTTGTGTGGAGTTGGAGGCACGAGCCAGAACACCTAACCCAGAAAATATATAAAAACATGGTCGCACATAGAAATCAACTCTAAGGCTTTTAGCAAGAATCCTTTTTAACTAATTTTATACATATACAGCGGGTAAAATAAGTATTGAACACGTCACCATTTTTCTCAGTAAATATATTACTAGAGGTGCTAATGACATGAAATTTTCACCAGATGTTGGTAACAACCCAAGTGATCCATACATACAAAGAAATCAAACCATAAATGTCCAGAAATGAAGTTATTTGTAATAATGTGGAATGGCACAGGGAAAAAGTATTGAACACATGAAGAAAGGGAGGTGTAAAAAGGCATGGAAAGCCAAGACACCAGCTGAACTCTCTCAGTAATTAGAAAGCAAGCCTGCCCCTTGTCAGTGCAAGTTAATATCAGCTGGTTCAGTCCCAAATGATGGCCAGGTATCACACAAGAACCATCTGATGATGGGTAAAAGTAAAGAGCTCTCTCAAGACCTTCACAACCTTATTGTTGCAAAGCATAATGATGGCATCGGTYACAGAAGAATGTCTAAACTTCTGAAGGTTCCAGTGAGCGCTGTTGGGGCCATAATTCAGAAGTGGAAAGAACATTATTTCACCATAAACCGACCACGACCAGGTGCTCCTCGCAAGATTTCTGACAGAGGAGTGAAAAGAATTATCAGAAGAGTTGTCCAAGAGCCAAGGACCACTTGTGGAGAGCTTCAGAAAGACCTGGAATTAGCAGGTACGATTGTTTCAAAGAAAACAATAAGTAATGCACTGAACCACCATGGCCTGTATGCACGCTCACCACGCAAGACTCCACTGCTGAAGAAACAGCATGTTGAAGCTCCTTTAAAGTTTGCTGAACAACATTTAAACAAGCCTGTGTAATACTGGGAGAATATAGTCTGGTCAGAGAGACCAACATTGAACTGTTTGGATGCCAGAATACACATCATGTTTGGAGGTCAAATGGCACTGCACATCAGCCCAAAAACACCATACCAACAGTGAAGTTTGGAGGTGGGAACATCATGGTGTGGGGCTGTTTTTCAGCATATGGTACTGGCAAACTTCAAATAATTGAAGGAAGGATGAGTGGAAAAATGTACAGAGACATTCTAGATAAAAATCTGCTTCCATCTACCAGGATGATGAAGATCAAACGTGGCTGGACATTTCAGCAAGACAATGAGCCCAAACACAAAGCCAAGGAAACTCTCAGTTGGTTTCAGAGAAAGAAACTAAAGCTGCTGGAATGGCCCAGCCAATCACCTGACCTGAATCCAACAGAAAATCTATGGAAAGAACTAAAGATCAGAGTTCATAGAAGAGGTCCACGAAACCTTCAAGATTTGAAGACTGTTTGTGGAAGAATGGGCCAAAATCACACCTGAGCAATGCATGCCACTAGTTTCTCCATACAGGAGGCGTCTTGAAGATGTCATTGACAACAAAGGCTTTTGTACAAAGTATTAGATAAATTTCAGTAAGTGTGTTCAATACTTTTTCCCTGTGCCATTCCACATTATTACAAATAACTTCATTTCTGGACATTTATGGTTTGATTTCTTTGTATGTTTGGATCACTTGGGTTGTTACCGACATCTGGTGAAAATTTCATGTCATTAGCACCTCTAGTAATATATTTACTGAGAAAAATGGTGACGTGTTCAATACTTATTTTACCCGCTGTATTTCCTAATATTGGACCTACTATTGCTAAATGAGAGTTTAAAGCACAAATTATCAGCTGTTGTACAGAAACAGAAGGAACTTACTTTCTGGCCCTTGAATACATGATACCAAACAGAGGTTCCCCCAAAATCGATGTGGAAGTCTGTGTAGCAGCCTTTCACACTCATCAGGCAATACCTGAAAAACAGACCAAAACATTTGGACTGAGTTTTTACTGAAAAAAGAAAAAGTAGTGCAGAAAACTGCTCACAATATCGCTCTTCTACAAACTGAAGTCTGATTAGCACCTCAAGAGAGAAATTATTTACTAATTTAGCAGCTTCAACTTTAAGTGATTTGTGTGCAAATACTTGGTAAATACAGTATATAGAAAAAACTAAATTGCACCATATGCAGTATGTATAAAATACATTATGCCCAGTGTAAAATGAAATGTTAGAAAATTTCACCAACATATTTTTCATTACTTAGCTCACTTTTTGAATGTTAAAAATTTTCCAATAACATTTTATTGTTATTTAGCTTACTGTTCTTACATTTAGCTATTTTTTACTAGATGTTAAATTTCAAAGTAAAAAAACATATTTAAATAATAAATCTATATGTTTAAACCCAAATGTAAAAGTTAAACCTTAAATGTTAAAGTTCACATTTGGTTAGTTTGGAATGGAATGCAGCCTTTGCTGTTGGCACTCGGCTCCTGTTCTTACATCATCATCCTGAGACAATAGCAACCGCTAGCACTCAATGCATTATGTTTGGGTATCAGCTAAGCACATGTTATAAATGATTTGTTATTTATTTGTTTAACTTAATTAATTTTATTCTGTGAACCCGACCAGAAGTAACCTCTGATAAAAACTCTGTTACCGTAAATCAGAGGCGATTGAGGTTAGAAGGAAATCCATTATTGGCTTTGATTCACTTTGTTTTACATCCCCTGATTGGCTGAGAGGCGTTTGTGCAGAGCAGTCAGACCACAACTATTAAAATCTATTTTTCCTCCATAAAAAAAAATAATAATAAATTAAAAATCTGCTCAACAGTCGATCAGGACCACAAAGAGGAGGTGGAAGCGCACTCTGCTTCACAGCAATCGAACAATAAGGGAGAAATCAGTCTGCATGTTTTGAGGTTTAATCTGTTTTTCCTCCTAGACTGAAAACGTAACACCAAAACAGAAACCTCTTACCTTTGGACTTTGGGATACTTCATCTCAGAAATAATGTTGGTGGCTTCTGTTTGGCTTTGCTTCAGGTCAGGAGGCCACATGTTGTCCACCCAGTCCACTTGATCCACCTGTGACAACGATCCAAACTCCATGTTTAGACCTCAGTTGTTCCGTTCTGTGATCCGTTCACACTGTTTCAGAATATCAGCGAGTGTAAAAGTCGTTGTTACCACTTTAGGTCGCTTGATGAGGTTCTCCAGCTTCGTGTGGCTGAACTCCAGGCTGATGACGTTAAAGAGTTTGTCTCGCTCTTCTTCTGGCGTCTCGTAATAGCGAACAAACTGAGCCATGCTCATCTCTGAGCCTTTCTGAGTGCTCACATCCATCACGTCCACAGAGCGTCGACTGCCTGCAGGAATCCACCAGGTGAAATGAACAAATGAGTATTAAAAAGGGACACCTAATAGCATTCGATAGATTTTTAATGCAATCTAAAAGAGCTGGAGAAACCAAATCATATTTGGAATTTGTCCCTGTTTTGCTAAAAAAAATGCATTTATTTCTTCCTCGTGTTCATGCTTCAACACCTCCTGCAGAGTTACACAATGTTTAGCTGGTAAATTCTATAATCTTGCAAACAAAAACACAAATCACAACATCAGCCAAAAAATAAATACGAGTGCATAAAATGCAGTAAGTGTATGAGCTCTCATATAAGTCATTCACAACTTTCACCACTAGGTGGAGCAGTTATTTAAATATGTTTTTTTAAATTACAGTAAGCCAATAAAGATCAAATACAGTTAACTGGATATATAGAGCCAAAAATTTTGATATGTTGAACTATGTTCCTAATAAACAGAAATATTTATGCAAAAAAAATAATTGAATCAGTCCAAGGTAAACTTCTTAGTTTTTGAATGCACTATTTGGTGTCCATTTTCACTTTTAAAATAAAAAAATGCTTATTTCCTTACCTGCTATGAAATAACATATAAAAACAAACACACTTCTGCTACATCCTTGGATGTTTACAACGTTTTCTTAGTTTCTACTTCAAATAAAATTGTCTCTTCTACTTAAATACAGCCTTATCATCCAGGAATTTTATCACAGGTTTGATTGGTCATAATTGGGACAGTTTGAAGGCATTTTTACTGCATTTTCCATCCACAGTTTCTGCTCTAAAGATAATAAATTGGGTTTTTAGGACACATAAACAAACTTATAGAGGTGTAAAAGGATTTTTTTTATCTAGCATTTTTAACTTATCTTAGCTGCTGCAATAATTTTAACGTGTTTTAATTGCAGACTAGTTACAAATGCCTATCTGTACAAACATGTAAATATGTTTGAATGTTTGTGTTTTCAGTCTTCCACTTACCAACTAATCCTTTTATTTCATTGACTGTAAACTCTGGATCAGGCATTCTATAAAAATGATAAAAAGGAGTACATTTAATCAAGAAGTCAACTAATATTTTACACATTGCATAAAGTTTAAAGATTTTTTTTCAATTGACATTAAGTTATAAAGAGATGAAAATGCTGCACAGTTAGTTAGGTAATTAAAAGGTAGGTAATCAAAATTACTTAAAAATATAGTAAGTACAATAAAAAAATTAATGCAGTGACATTAGTCGTATTTAAAAAGAAATACTTGATTTCATTTTGATTGGGGCAAAGGTGAATAAAATTTATAATAAAAACGTAATTTTATCCATAAAGAATTACATTTCAGAAAGCATTGCATTTAGTTTTTGTTTTAGGAAAACAACACAAACTTACACAAAAGAGAAAGCATCCTACATCCTGTGTAACACACACAGTACACCTATAATCTGCTTTTGTGGGAAAAGTCAAAGTTGAACAATTGCAAATACAAAAGTGGTTTCTTTTTTTAATTTAAAACATATTCACTCATTTATTTAAGTACTACTGATAAAAAATAATAATAAACAGTATTATGCAAAGATTCTTACCTGATCCCTAATTCATCTTTCTCTTTAAAAATGAGTGGAGTCCTGAGGGCCTCCTTTTGCACATATTCATAGGTGAAATCTGCAGCACAGCAGATGTTGGTGTTGGTTCAAAGCAAAAACAAACAAACAACATAAATAAATAAAAAAGTTAGTATCAATGATTCTTGAGCATCTGTATTTGACTCCATTCAATCAGTCTTCCTTCAACTGAAGCTCATTCTTAATACAGACAAAACAAAGACCATGCTGTTTGCAAACAAAGAGAAAGTGACCCAAACCTGAGGCTAATGGCTCAGCCAGAGTTTGTAGAAACTTAGAAATATCTTTGCATTATCATTGATCAAAAGTTCTCATTCAAATATCACATTGACTGCTTTTTTTAAAAACTGAAGTTAAAACTAGGATTCTTTTTCAGAAATGTTTCAGGCTTCTCCCTAACTGTTATGTCTGCAGCCTTCTGACCACTATTAGACTTTGGTGATGTTGTATACATGAATGCCCCCGCCAACTCTCTGCATATGTTGGATGTTGCCTATCATGGAGCACTACGATTCATAACAAAACGTAAACCACTCTACACACCACTGCACCCTGTACTCACTGGTAAACTGGCCATTATTATCTACACGCAGACTTCTGTTTATTTTTTCTATACATGAAGAGCCCCATTTGATTGGTGAAATATTTCAAGCTGAATGACAAAATGCATAAATGCAAACTTTTGAGTCAACCATTTATTGCAGTTTATGCAGTTGTTGTAATAAGCATATTGCACAGGCTATTATTGCGATGACGATAAATTTTCCAGATATTGTGCAGCCCTAGTGGGCGCAGTTCCATTCCCAAACACTAGAGGCACTAACGAGTCAAAAAGTGAAGTCCAGCATGAATCAATCTGAAAGAAGTATTTTTCTCTTCTTTAGCGAACTTGAGCAATCCTGCAGAAAATATCTTTCAACAGGGAAACAATGGCTTCATGTTCTCACATGCTTTGAGAATATTTTATCCATTATATAAGGATAATTTAAGCTTTTTTAATAACATTACATTTAGGGTTGGGCAATATTGGCAAAAAAATTAATCACGATTAATTGTGGTATTTAGCTGATAACGAATAATTCGATGATTAATCCCCTGGAGTCCCTGGCCACCCTTACGTCCTAGTCACATGACCAAGTTAGTGGGAAAGATTTGCTCTCCATAAAAGTCTGTTCCAAATTGTGTCAAAATTACAGACTTATGTGTTGATAAATAAATAAATTATAGAACCTTTTTTTTAAATGTTCGTCATATTTGAAGCAGAGAGGAGCACCCAGCGGTCAGTCCGTCTAGTGGTATCGTCAAGTGCCAAAAACCAATCGATTAATGTTTTTCTGACGATTAATTGCACACGATACGATTATAACCAACCCTAATTACATTACAAGTGTTGGAACACATGTGACCGGTTCAATTTATACACCTTACAAAAAAACAATGATTTATGTGCAAGGATGTTGAACAAAGACTTGGCCCCTCTATGAATATTGTGGCCCCTTGCTCAGAAAAATCCTAGATCCGCCACTGCTGTCCAGTTTGATCCCACTGGGTCATTTAAAAATCTTAAAGGAAATGAAAAAATAAATAAATAAACACAATCTGAATTGTGCTCATGCTTTTAGGTTGTGTGTTTAACTCTGATTTCCCCAAATTGTAACTTGACTTTCATGATCATTGTGCAACTGATATTGTATACACTCACCGGCCACTTTATTAGGTACACCACGCTAGTAACAGTTTTGTGGTCATAAAGGGATGGACATGGTCAGCAACAATACTCAGGTAGGCTGTGGCGTTGCAACGATGCTCAATTGGTACCAAGG